CAGCGAAGGAAATCTTCCGATTAAATAGTTGTTTGGTAAAATCATAAAGTGATTCGAGATTTCAAATATCAAATAAGGCCTACAATGCACGGATGTGCTAAGCATAAACTTATTTTTTGAGCCACATTGATATGCATCTATAAATTTACTTGCTCCTGTAAGGTAGGTTACATCAACCTCGCAAACGATCACTTTCCAAACACATCTCAGAACATTACCCGGTGTGACTTTTAAAAGGTGAATGCAAAACAATCACCAGTTCAATAAAGGAGCACCTAATCAAATTTGAACAAGCCACTCCAAATGATACTTCCTTCAGAATAATCTACACGATCAAAGGGACTGGACCGAAGGGAGACTGGATCAAAAACTTATGCACTGCTGGAGCATCGGGGGTCCATCGGTTCAAACCTGAACTCAGCGTGCTTAAACGATACGTCCCTCTCATCCTTCCTTGACTCATAGAATGATGTTTTGAACTTGTTTTGTTTTTATTATTATTTTGTATTTTTCAATCGTAATCAGTCATTATTATTCTTTAACAATTTACCATGATCAATATTCAACTTTTATTACAGCCTTTACATTTTCATTTTTCTCTATATCTATTAAGAGAACAATTATCTTTCATAATTCTAACCCGTAAACTATCCTCATCCTTCTATTCTTCTCTAACTATCTGATCGTTACATAATGTCAAATCACTTTATAAAACAATCGTTTCTATCTTTCTATAGACTTATGTATTTATCATACAACTGTGAATATGAATGTACAACTTCAGTAAATGATTTCATTAGAAAGAAATTAGTTAACACGGAATAAATGTGAAATAGTGACAGTAGAACTAAATCATTCAATAAGAATTTATTAAAAAAGATTGTTATATATCAAAAAATATTTTGAATTATGTGCTGATTTAAATCAGTGGATTTCAGTGTTACAATTTACTAACTAAATGCTCCATATTTCATAATTTAATTATGTTATCATTTTATAAATGAAGCGTAATGACAATAATCTACATGATTTTCTTTGTGAGTAAACTATTCAACCAAAACAACGTATTTTAATTCATTTTTTATTCTAACAGTTGAATTCATGAGTTTAACAAAGCTAACCATCTTTGAAAACCTGTACGCACTGGATGGCCGTTTCGTCCTAGTATGAGACTCCTCAACAGTGTGCATCCACGATCTCACACGCAGGGTTTGAACCAAGGACCTTTAATCGGGTGTCATAGTTATCCACCTAAGACAATGGATGAAGGGCTCTATAAGATCATGTATCGAATGAAGTTAAACATTAATACCGTTGGATGCCGGCTCAGTGGTTAATCGTTCACGCACAAAACCGAAGGTTCTGGGTTCGAGTCCTGCGTGGAGGACCGTGAATGAGCAATGCTGAGGAGTCCCATACTAAGATGAAACAGCTGTCCGGTGCTTCTAGGTTTTCAAAGGTGTTCTATCTTAGATCGGCTCGTGAATTCAACTGTGAAAATACTACAATCTGCACAAATCCCTATAGTGATAATTTTTCATTCTACGAAAATGAATATGACAAACAATCAACTGGTATTTAAAACAAAACAATCCTAAGACTAACAAACAAATTTGATACTAACATTTATGTAGATAAACGGTAGCTAGATGATCACAAAAAGCTCAATTTTCAACTATTAATTATTATTATTATTATTATTACTTTTTGATATAAACTGTGATACCTTACCAAATTTGGCATTATCCACCGATTATTAGCATTAACTCACTAATACAAAATATAAATGGAAGAAAATTAAATAAATTTGTACTATTATCAATAAGATAAGCTTTTAGACAAGTGAAAGAAAAGGTTTCAAATTTTAATACTAACTAGGTTCTCATGCAACCCACCCACTCCCCTAAACAACTAGTTTGTTTTTTTTTATTATAAAATAAATGAGTAAACCATTTCAATAAACTCAATTATACACATATAACAAATGACAAAAACTGAAAGAAAATGTTGAAACATCACATGTATTAATAAAATGAAATAATTGTCAATACATGAATAGTATTAATTATATTAATAAAAAAAAAGAAACTATCATTATCTTAAGTGTAATTTATATTTGGATTATTTTGTTGATATGTAATGGATAATAAGTATAGTATCTTTTTTCTTTTAAGATTGATAAATGCAAAAAAATTCTATTTTAATTGTATATTAAATAAAAACTAAGAATTAGGAAAGATAAGAATAGTAGCAATTCATTTTTATAAACATAGTGTTTTTAAATACGAATTGATGATGATTGAAAACTAGAGAGTATTGAAGGATTGTTTTATTTCACGTTCAAGTCACTATAACAGTGTATACTTGCAACTCAATATAGAAAAGAATGAAAAAACCATTTCTAATTATGTACACATACAATCTGTCTTGGTATGGACAGATGAAAAATTGTATTAAATAAATCAATCATTGTATGTACAATTGATTGATTATTGGGTAGTGACCAATGTCATATGTTTGAAATCCTTCTTAATGCAGATCGAATTCTATTAACCAAATTGAAACGTGGTTACTAGTCTAAGTGAATTGACATCGTATGTACTGTGTTGAGAAGTAAAGAGAGTGGTTGAAGCTAGCAGACAGGATATCTTGGACCTAAGTTTTGTGCTATTTAACACTCGTCACTAAGATGTACCTGTAAATCTTGAGGGAACTAATGTTCCGTGATGGATTCGATCCGGTGTCGCCCATCTTCATAGTCTGAAATATTACTATTGAGCTACTTAGGCAGCAAATGACCTCTTGTGGGACTGAGATATTTATAACTGATTAATCATTGAGTAATGACTAATGTGATGATTATCTAGTTCTTAAGTGACAATTGAATTCCACTGACTAAGTTATTATTATTATGATTTCTAATGGCTTTATTCAATAGTATATATTTAGTAGAACATAGAATTCTCAACAATATGGACCATTAGTCTAGAAGACTTAAAATCACGCGTACTGTGTTAAGATGTTAGTAAAGACCTTCAAACATATTGTTATCAATACGACACCTATCTATTTTACAACAATACACTAATGTATATGAGTGAAATAACTATAAATACGATTGTGTAAGTTTAATAGACGACAATATAGAAATTACTGAAACCATTTATTATACATTAAGTATCGAAAATAATATGAATTGTTAGAACTAGAAGGAATACATAGAAATACAAATGAAACTCTACTTAAAATAATTTCGATAGAGTTGAAATACATTACTGAAACTATTACTCAATGCGATTAGAAAATAAATATCTCCGTTCAAATAGCCATGGACAAAATGTACAATTCACATATGATGTTGGTGAACGTGAAAATCTTAACTATGAACCTTGATAGTTTCTAGCAGTGATAGATACATTTTGACACGATAAACAATTAACATACAAACAAAACCTCATTCTGTAATAAAGATTTAGTTTTTTGTTTAATCACTATATATATTTTTTTGCTATAATGGATTAGATCACTTAAATCAATGTAGGGTAGGAGGTCAATTATTCGAGATTTGATATAGGTGAGAATGTCAGATGATTCTAAATGATATAATGGAATTTGATTAAGATTTCATTAACCTTATAATGTTAAATCTTACATATTTCATCATCCCATTTTATTTATTTTAAGTGAAAACTTGGTAAGCAAATGAGTCACATAAAAAGCATAGTAATACAAAAGAATAAATGAAAGATGATGTAATCAAAGTGAAAAAATTCATATCATGTTTATTCAGAACATTTCCACAACTTGATCATATGGCTTTCGAGTATTTCAAGTTATTCAATTATATGATCTCTATCATTTCAGCCCAAGCAGTTAAGACATTTCGATATATATTAAAACAAGACAACTTATACTTTATATTACAGTATTATTTCATATACATGTCTGTTCAAACTCCAGAAAGAATTTACATACACAAAGATGAACTATTATTATTAATCATCTAGCTAACTGTCATTCTCCTTTGAATTAAATTACAAAATAATAAATGAAAATCTATATTTTTACTTATTATCATTAGTAGTAGTATTATCAATATCATTATCATAATCTGATAGAACATCTTTATGGTTAACACGAGTTCAAAATGACAACAACAACGACTATGTATTTATCAAAGTGGTATGTTAATGAATAAATCTGATCTAGGTTGGCATATTTTACTAGTGTGTATGATAATATATGTGTACAGATAGCAGTGTAAATGTAACGTGTTTTCAAGCATTTTCGAAGTAAACTTATATATATTCATTGTAATAGCATAGTATAACGTACTGTTTATTGTATGTATATATATCTGGTCTGAAAATTTTTATAGTTATACTCGGATATATTATGAAAGACTAAAAAAAACTATAAAGCATAAAACAGATTCATTTTGTGGATCATTTTTGACAACACTATACCTAATGAAAGTCAGCAATTTCGAACTTGATATAAAATCAGCTTCGCTATCTCAAATACTGGATTGTATTACAGAGAATGATCGATCTGCATTGAAAAGATGTTTATCCTCTACTGTGATATTCGCTACAATGATTGATATTAAATTCTGAAAGTCAACTCTGACGAGTTTGTACCTAATTCGGGGAATGATCAACATATAAAATGATATAAAACCAGTTTTGATGAAATGAGATTTTATCCTCGTCAGCTAACAGAAAAGTAATGTAACTTAGTAACAAAGTACATATTCGTGAAGTCTATTACACTCCATACTTTTCATGTGACACTAATGATGACAACTGGTTTTCAAACCAAGGTATCCAAAATGGAGTTTGAAACTACGTCCTAATAGTTATAGGAATTATTTACTAATACTATTCGCTTATTAAAGGCTAAGCAGACTGAGTGAAATTCGGATTTATATGTAAGTAAATCATAAATTTGTTTCACATAAATATATAAATTGATACAAAATAAAAGAATACACTGCATACCTGCATATATTGGATATTGTCTATCTGTTAAGTTATCCCATAAGTAAGTTGGAGCTAAGACATACAAAGGACTAGCACCGATCCCAGCTAGAAGCATTGCAAAACAAAAAGTTGGAAAGAGTACAGACTGAACAATGTCACTACTTCCCATAAATCCTGTGCTTGATGATTCATTAATATCATTACTATTAAAATTATCAGCAGCAGTGAGTGAAGCAGCACGAATAATTGTGTCATCGACACTAGTTTGATTATTAAGCGAATTGGAGATAACATTCTTAGAAAAGGTATTGCGCGACTGATAGATACATAGTGGTCCATCCAACTGAATTGAATTTTCTAAGTCTTGATTAAGAGGAAAAGACGACAGAGAGGAATGGAGAATATCTTCAGTACTAATACTAGTAGCAGTATTACCATCAGGAGTAGTTGGTAAGTTTGGTCTATAGGGACCAGCTAAAAAGTGCGGCAATGCAAATAATCCAAATCCAAGAGCCAGGATCAATGTCGCCAAACCAATAACACGTAATCGATTATGTTTCTGACCGCTAATAAAGCTAACAATCACTGTGGTTATGACACCGGCTACTTCATAACAACTAATCATAGAGCCGATTTGTCGACTAGTTAAATTAAATCTTCTTTCCAATGTAGTAAACATACTACTCATCAGACCAGATACAACCATAGTTTGCATAAACATAGTTAAACATAATCCGATTAATACAACACGTGGATTAGCACAGGTTTGTAGACAAGGGCATAAACAAGAAGTATCATCATCTTTTGCAGTTGTAGTTATCTCATGAGTTTCTGCATCACGCGCACATATAAACGAATTTTCTAATGTAATATCATTAGATGAACGTGGAGGTGTTAGACAAGGATAAGCTTCGGGTTTATTTTCAGGAATGAATGAAGTATCTGGAATCTTATGTTCACCTGACACCACTAGATTTTGTTCGACAGAACCATCCCAATTATAAGATGGTCTTTCAGTTAACTGGTCAAGAATAAGAGGTTTTGTGACAATACGGAAATCCCAACCAGATGTAGGATCGCTGATATTGCGAGCATGGCCTAAAATACGTTTAGAATAATATGGTGGAGGGGCTTGATAATCATTTGGATGATTGAAAACATTAGCATATGGAACTCGACCACTTGTAATCTGATTATCAGGATAACGACCGAACCCAACTGTTGTAGCTGTAGATAGATTTCGGCGATGCTGACGTCTAAAATGATTCGGCTTATCAAAGCCATACGTTGCACTAGATGAAGTTCGTCGAACTAGACCAGGATGTAAGCAAGTTGATATAAAATTTACTACATTCGTATCCCAATCAATTGGACATGAAGTATCACAAATCTCATCACCTACGGCATAACCAGAAGATGGTCCTGATGTTGCTCTTGACAAATGTGGAGTAGGCATGAGAATGAGTAGCTAATACATTGGAAAACAAGAAATTATATCCAACCAGACAAAAATAAAAAGAATAAATAACTCATTTTCTGATTCATGCAGAACGTGTAAATAAAACCTGTTGAAGCAAATAGAGATAGAATGTAAGTATGCAACTATTATTTAAACCAACAAAAAAAACAATACAGAAATTTGTAAAATAAGATTACATTTTTAAACATTACGAATGGACGGTTATAGAAGCTAGGTGTTTTGTCACTAAGCAGCTACGTATGGGTCCGTGTGTAATGTATTTAATTTATAGATGGTGACTAGTGATACTAACCGACTATTTATTTTATTTAAACACACAAACATTGGTACAAGGAAGCACAGAATATATATACGCCACACTTTGTCATAAGATTTGTGTGAGGGCTGAAATACTGCCTGGACACCCAAACCGCCTAGGTTTATAAAGGTTTGAGTTTGAAATTCAATGGCTGAAAGTTCAGAACAAAGAATACAGTCTACATCAAAGCACAAAGACCTGTAAGTAGTTTTTTTGAGTTATTCCAAATACCTTCAATGCCCTTCCAAAAGACTCAGCCCTCTTGGACTCCACAGCCACATGGCACTAATGAACACGCCCCCAAATGCCCTGGTACGGCCGAGAGTGGGGAGAGTCCGCTCTCCCTCTCGAAATGCTCTCACATGGCCATGCGTATATAGCCTCTGCCAGGGAAGTCCTACTCACTGCCTTCTCGTGGCGGGGGTGTTGTTTACAAAAATGAGAGGACGAAAAGCGAATGTCCGGCGCTTTAACCGGATTTCAAACCAATGGTGTACATGGACTAGCTCCAGTATCCTGAAGGAACAAATGGCGTATGAACCAATCGTTGGTCACCGGCTACCATGGGACTGCATCTCCTCACGATGCTCCACTGCCTTGTGGGTCAGACGTTCAGGTCGAAGGCTCGGGGTGTGGCCCCCTAAGAAAACCACCTGCTTCGGTTTGGGCACCCGAGCAGTATCACAGCCCTCACACAAATCAATTGAGATTCGTGTGGCGCATATGTACTTGGTGCTTCCCTGTACCTATACTTATGTGTTAAAATAAATAAATAAATAAACTAATGAACACTCAGTTTAAAACGCTTGACCTTTTGCAATAATAGAAGCTTTAAGTAAAGTTCATTTTTAACATTCTACAGACTACAATCAATAAGTGTATAAACAGAAATTACAGACATATTAGTATCAGTTTTTTTCACGGAAATATAAATCTACATTTGTGATATGCTTATTGTACTTCTGTTACTTCTTCGTAACTGCAACAAAATAGCCGGCAAATTTGTTAAGTGACTATAACCAAATGGTTTATTCCGACATATGTCGAGACAAAAGTTAGTCCCAATATTTAGGTCTACGTTTATTGCAGAGGAAGAGACCTACAAAGTCGATATCCTCTATGTGATGCATAACTACAATCATCTTTTTATTAAGATTCTGTGTATAAACATGTTACCTCATTGGAAGAAGCCTACTATACTGCATACCTGTCTTGTCGTCTGGTGTCAGTTCATTGGGTGCTTAGGCCAATGGTTCTGAATCGTGAAGTTATCACTTTGCCACGTTGTACTATTGCATATCATCTATCGATTAGCCCTGTACCTGAATCTAATAATTTCCGAATGTCCCTCATTACAAATAAAAAAATCCCTATCCATAGTAGAAACAACAGTTGAAGAGTAAACCTGATAACTACCTAGTCATCACTCTAGTAGCGTTTCATACCATTAGGGACTCGTCACCTGAACGTACCCGCATCCCAGAGTTGTCCACCCTGGGACGCGAACCCAATACCTGTCACTGCGGTATCTGCTCAGCTACTGAGTTTAGATATCCATTGACTTATGTAATGGGATGATGTCTAATTCGTTTGTGTTGATTGTTTGGATTTTCCAATTGATATTTAGGACTGCAAGTGAACTCTGGGATGCTGGTACATCCAAATGGCGAGTCCCGAATAGGATCAAACGCGTGTCCTGAATTCCACTGTTGATTACTATCCATCATTACATAAATAATGCTTGTGGTAATTATGAGGCAATCCTCACAGAATGCACATATGCCAAAAAAAATACTAAACAATCCAGGTCGTAAACATTGATAGAGAGATTTGAACAACCAATTCAAATAAACTACTTAGTCACCAATTGATTTAAATAAAACTGGACAGCTCCAGATAGTTAAGAGGAATTAGCACCTACTCTAGAAGTCTACAAGTGCATTTTCTTACTGTTGCTAATATGTTTTACACTTTATGTAGAATACCTAGCCAATTGAATATACTCACTCTAGACAATCAAAATTCATTGAATGAACAGTGATGACCTGTAAACTAGGATTTATTTATCATTTAGTCAATATACAGCAGCAATCGCTTGACAGATGACAGTATTGCAATCACCGTACCGAGCTGAAAAAGAAATAAACGGATGTGCGAATCCGTAATTTCACTCAGTGGTGTCTCTCAGTTTTTTTCTCTTTAAAAAACCTGATCTATAGACTCAATGGTTTTATGTTTCCATTTCGTTATTTTTGCTATTTTCTCACTATTGATTCTGGTAAACTAAGGAATCTGAAGCCTGTTACAAAGAGGTCACCTGGCTAAACATATTGCAATGGAAGCTGAGGAAGACCTGAAAAAGTCTCTTCATTATGCGACGAGTAAATTATACTCGCCGAATATAGAGATTTTGACATGGTGTCCACTGTACTTCAGCGAATTGCCAGTTAAGACGTAACCGATGAATCTGTTCGTTTTAGGTCGCGAAGCATGGTTTTAGGAAATTCACGTTTCTAACACCACAAAATCCTGATGACTTACCGGCATCGAACAGCATGGTTGAGACAGATATACTAGACACAAAAGATATTCAAAATGATCCGTGCGATTTAGTTTATTTATTCATTTGAACACATAAATATTGGTACAAAGGGGCACCGAATACATATGCGCTACACAAGTCACTTGATTTAGTCTACAATTCGAGTTTTTATAAGTGTTTTAAATACTCGTCTTGAATTTAACAACTCGGAGTTATTTTTGCGATATACTAGATCTCAACCGACAATTCGATAAGCCAACAAGTTTTGGACGTTTGAATTTTTCCAACTCATTTTATTACCAACTATTTATTTTCTCTTAAATATTTAATTTTTCCTGTTTTCACAACCATAAAAATTATGATGTACTTGAAATTGACCAAAAACCCAAACTCGGATCATACCAAAACTAGTAACTGATAGTGTCACTTTTACGTGATATACTTTCAAAGCAATTAAGGTACTTCAATTCCGCTATCTGAATTACCATTACATAGCCTCTCCATCGTTTTGTAACACAGTTCAGCGGTCTTTCGACTTCCTAACCGTGAAAAATTGCCGAATTTGATCTACCAGGAAACTTGTAGACTAAACAGCGTATGTTTACATCACAAGTCATTACCATTTTGCTCAGTATTACCACTTTTCTATTTACTTTATATTTGACTTCCATGTAACATGTTACATATAATATCTGCCTATATTTTACTTTTTAAAACCTGATATATCATAGTCTTTCCGCACTTTAAAACCACCTATTCCCATTATACTCAGCTTAATTCAGAACCGTTTAGCTTTGTCGAGTTAGAGTAACAATTGATGGGGATAAAAACAGCTAGTAACAGATAAAATGGTTCTATTGAACTAATGACAAGATTACACAGGACTTGAAAGTCAAAATACAAAAAATCGTTTTATCATGCCATACCTTATAGCTTGAGAACAATAAAACCCAGGGAACTTGCAAGGAAATCAAATCCTTGCGTCTGAGCGCAATGTAACCAAAATAGCATGAACAAATAACGGATCAATTGAACCCCTACACTGTTCTATTTCGTAGTTCATCAGTGACAGTGTGGTCATGGTTCATTTGGTATCAATCGTGCAAAAAGAAAAGATATTCCTGTATATTAGAAGCTTTAGGCACCCAATGAACACCTCTCCCATCTGTATGAAAGAATGAGGACGGAATAATGAAAAGTTTTGAACTGCAAAAGAAAAAAGCATAACAGAAATATTATCTAGAGAAGGCAGTAGCGACTGACCAAAAATTAACAAGCGATAATGAAGTTAAGATTATTAAATCAGTCGTCAGAAGACATAAAATCAGTTTTGAAAAAGCTGTGATTTTTGAATTTTTCATTAGCTCTTTTGTGCATATTTTCCTATCTTTTTCTGGGATTGTTTCGATTAAAGTTAAAACTTTTAAAGATCTTTTACTTTGCTTTTTGAACATGTTTAGATCTTTAAATGATCTTTTGTCAATGTGCTGAACTTCACACAGCCTATATTATTATTTTGGCATAAGTCTTTTCATGCGATGGACATTTTTGCAAACTTCTACCGATCAGCATTGCTCATGTGTGCGAGCGCCGAATTTTTTCCCTAGTACGTTTAGAATGACATGTGATAAATGTAGCGAATCCTACCATACAACGTCTACCCAATTAACATGGTGCATGTAAAAACCTCCCTAGCCTAGATATCACTGCCTCTGTATATTTTGGCGTTCTCTCGTCGACATGGAAGAAAGTTGCTGAAAGCAGATGTAAAGATTTGCTTACAAACCCATGTGATTATCACAAGGGCGACTACGGGAATGATGGTACGAATCCAACTAAGAAGTCTCTGATGGTGGACGTGAAAAATAGAGTCCCTCAAGTAAGTGAATCACCTGTAGGTAAGGCTGGCTATGAATTTATTTCATGTGGAGGCCTTAATAGAACTGTCAAAGGCTGGAAGACTATTACAGATATAGACTTATGAAGGTGATTAGAGATGAAAATGTGTATCATGATGTAGCGAAGATTCCAAAAGGGTTAATAATAATGGTAGTAATTCACTCTCAAATAACAGTCTGTTACATGAGGCATGTCAGCTTGTGGGCAAAATTAAGTTGTTACAGAAGATACAGTCCACTGTAGTAGACTACTCAGTTAGGTTGATATTTCATAAGATGAATCTGTCATAGACTTATGAGGAATAACACTTCTCACATTGGAATGTTGGCGCGTTTAATGGGGGTTGCGTTGCGATATACAACCAATGGTCGAGAATAAATCCGCATCAGGTTGCGAGCCTCTAGAAACCACAACCTTATATGCTCATGGAACATTTGGGGCATCAATGATTGCGCAGGACTAAGTCGCTTGTTCCATATGTGTTTTCGGTGGCATATCTCGAGAAGGCTAAAAAGGAAGACAGGAAAAAGAATAGACAAGAAGCAGAGCAGATAATGTTCATGACTTCTGAGTTCGAGTCACTTCTAGTGGAATAGTTAGGATATGACTACTTAGTCTAATTCTCTTTTATTAAGGTGCTTTTTAAGCATGAGCATTCTAATAGATTAAATAAAACAAGCGTGAATATGGTATGAGCGGACAAGTAAGCTATTGTTAGTTACGTCTATAACTAACCAATCAAATCGTTGTTTAAGCGCCCACTATGTCGATCTGGTCTGGTGTTTCTGTAGACTATCCCTGCTGCATGTGACCTACCAGTTAAAGGTCATTATTCATTTCGATATGACGCGCAATGCTGGTTGGCACAAACAGACAAAGTTTAATGCTAAGTTCTCCTTGTTCTGACTATGGCTTTCACATTAACTTTGGGATCGCCAGTATCGCGCTTACAGTTCTAATGGCATATCTGTAGGAAAAACTAAATCCCATAGCTATTTTAGTTCATTTTTATTTTTATAGTTTTTTTAGTCATGTACAGGCCTCGTTTTTAGTGAATTATCTAGCTTTCCTCGTAATAGGATTACTCGGTAGGGTCAATAAGATCACAAAGTTTCTGCTTCGGATCAATGAAAAAAGTCTGAGAAGGAACATTCCAGAACACTGAAATAGTGATTGTAACCCGAAAAGTTGACAGTCATTACATAATTATGTAATAAAGAACTTGAAAACATAATAATGGTAACAAATAGGGGTATAAATTGAAATCACTCAGTTAAGAAATGTGACAGAAAGAGTTGAAATAATGAATGATGGAATGAAAAGGATGTAATGTTATCGGAGCAAAAATGATTTGTTACTGCTTCTTTTTAGACGCATATACCTGGTTTAATAGTTCGATCGTTATTGCTTCGGCGAATTTTTGGATATCGGAGATCAACTATGAATCGGTCAGGCTGAAAGCCTTCAGTCCATCCTTTACCAAGGGAACTTCTCAACATGGCTCCGCTGAATGCTTTTAATCCTTTGATATTAAACTTTTTGCAGTATGTTCTTCGAATCTGATGTAGGCTCTTCTTTCTGTTTTACCAGTGTAACTGCTTCAGCAGATACATGTCATCATACAGCTAGGTAGCAGCAACCACGCGTTTTCTTTGTTTAAATCGGCTCACAGTTTTGTGAAGGGCAGTGATTTTGTATATGATACCCGCTTCTGAGTATTTATTCCATCAAAGTATACTTGGTCTACTTTAACTTGAAGTTTGAAAATATGTTCAAATCTGCTTTGTGGCACTGTATTTTGAGTTGATCCACATAATAGTAGTTATCCCATGTATTTTTCTTTGGGCTTTTCCCTGGCTTACAAAGGTGAACAACCAAATTTTTTCTCCCCTAAGGAGCAAAGTATGTAATGTGATGGGTGTTAAAAGTGGTTCCACAAAATGTGAACCTGATTGAGTCCCACAGCATATAAAAGATCCTCGAAGCCTAGCTCCCATCGGCTTCTTGTGTCTTTCTACTAGGATAAGACATTACTGATCCAGAAGGTGATAGGCCTTCTGGCTTTGGCCAGCAGGAAATTTGATGGTGGTTGCATCGGTAAAATTAGTAATGGCAGTGAAGAATGTGTCAAAGCAGAACTTACTGCTACCTTACAAGCCAATCATCCGACTATGGAACATGGACGGGGAAAATCCCTTTGAAACAGATCAAGAATGAAGTACCACAGGATATTGGTGGTTACGATTCCAAAGCAGCACCTGAAGACAAAGACAAGACCCTTACCGTCTCAAGTCGTTGCGGTATGGCTGTCCTGAACGACGGGAAATGAATCGCAGCGTGGAAACGAAGGAGATAAAGAAATATCCATAAGCGGCAATCGTTTGGTCGACATGTCTTCGGTAGGCTCCGATCTAGGGTTTCGGGATACACCACCAGACTTTTAAGGTGACACTAGACTTAATCGTAGCGCGTCTGGAAAAAGCTTGCCCTCATAAAGTATTATTGTAAATAATTTACTTGAATCAAACGACTCTGATACATGAACCAGACACGTGCATGATTTAGAAAAGGTAAGAGCACTGATTCCTAGTATCATACCAGATAACTCCACGGGAGTTCAAATCGACGAATTGATATGAATAGGTTAGGGGATCGAATGAAATGTTGAAACTCAACCATATTTTCTTCTTAGCGTAGTCCTAGGGTGGAATAAACAACGAATGCTTGCTAATCACGGCCCGAAGTCACAATAACATCGAAATTTGCGTAAAACCTGACATATCCATAAACTATTAGAGGAAAAAGAACGGGACGTTATGTAAAAAAGTAACCCGTTAGTTAGTTATGAAATAAAAATAACAAATGTACAGTACCAGGAGACTTTAATACAACAGCGTTGGCCACTATAGAGCCACAGTAGACTCCTAATGAAAGTAATGGGACATACTTTAGTAGAGCACGTACACAAACCCAAACGTTTTCGTTCGAAACAAGGATCTTCTTTGTTTGACTCAGTAACCACCTATGCGATCGGTGATATTGCTTGTCTAACTACTCTCCCACCGTTTGCAAATAGCGATCACGGTGTTTTGTCACAGATGAATAGAGCTTCTGACCTAGTATGCTCTAAGGTTATACCTCACCTAAATATCTGGAGGGAAAATATAACAGCCACACAAAAATGTTCTGTAACAAAAATCTGGTCAGTAAACACTAGCTCATCAAGTGAAGAAATGTGGTCTATATTTTATGACACATTTGGCGTAGTTACATATCCATTTAAATCATGCTCAATACTTCACAGACTTACCTCAGACAACCAGAGAGATCGATAAACTTCTTGGATGTTGGAAAAAGTCTGTTGGAGATCGTGAAAATGGTTCAAAATGATTGCCTTCTTGTATAAAAAGGTGAGCTGCCTGAAGTCCCTCCGGGGGCTACTGCCGATCCCAAGCCCGGATAAAGGAGAAGGGTTGAGCATGGGGTCAGCGACCCCATCTCTTAGAAAACTAACTCGCCAAAAAAACACTAACCAGAAAAAATTATTTAAGCCATTTAAACTCTACCCTGGGAGTCAGAAGATCTTCATTTAAAAGAATTATGACCCTCATGATGAAAGCCGAGTTCCTTAAGAAATCGCGGTGCCGATGCCGTTTCTGACAACCAGATCAACCATTTATTTAGGTACGTGGAATACTCGTACTGCAGTCAATTGTCGAGAAGTGCCCAACAAAGGACCTGACCATCCTGATGGAGGAACCAAATGCCGAGGTTGGAATGAACAACACCGGATATGAAGAGATCATGGGACGACACGGACTGGGAGAAAGGAACAGAAATGGTGAGAGATTTGCAAATCTATGTGCCTTCAATAAACTGGTCATAGGCGGCACTATATCCCCACATAAACGCATTCACAAAACCACACGGACTTCAACGGATCACACCACACAGAACCAAATCGACCATATCTGCATTAACAAAAAGTTCAGGAGGACGATGGAGGACGTGAGAACAAAGAGAGGAGCTGATATAGCATCAGATCATCACTTGCTGATCGCCAAGATGAAATTAAAACTCAAGAGGC